GGTTGGCCCAGAGGAGCCCATTCCAGACACCAAGCCAAGCTAGCTCCATCTGCTGTCCCAAATACTGGTGCTTCCCGGGGCTCCTCGCCTTGGCCCCTGCCCCTTGGAAATCAACTCACCCCCTGGTGAGTTCACCTGTCTGACTCCGATTCAGTTCTCACAAGCCAGATCAGATGGGCCCTCCAGCTCCACATTTCTGCATACTTACTGGTCATCAGTGCAGGGCGGCCTCCACCCAGCTCACTCTCAATTTCCCTGCAGACGAGCTCCATCTCCTATGCTCCCTTTGTCAGTCATGGGCACCACCCTGGGCACACTGAGTTACTCTCCTGGGTATCATCCCAAAGTTTTCTCCCTTGCCGCATCCGGTTATTAAAGACATCTTATTTGACCTCTAATGTCTCTCCATTCCTACTACCAAATTTGGCATTATCTCAAGCCTGTGCAATGGGCTTCCCTGGTGGCTCAGATGGTAAAGAATATGCCTGTAATGCAGGAGATGAGGGTTCCATCCCTGGGTTAGGAAGATCCCCTGGATAGGGGAACGGCAACCCATTCCAGTATTTTGCCTGGAGAATTCCATGGACAGAGGAGCCTGGCAGGCTACAATACATAGGGTCTAAAAGAGTCGGACATGACTGAGCAACTAACACTTTCACAAGGCCCATGCAACCCCAAAAGACTGCCTCTTCACTCTGTAGCCTGGTCCCCCTAGAGGGGTCTGTCAAAAGACTTTATATGCTTCACGGACTTGCCAAGGACTAAAGAAAAGATTCTCCAAAAAATGCCTGATGATAAAATCACCTAGTTTGCTAAGTCAATTCATTTGTGTCCTACTCTTTGCGACTCTATGGACCGTAGACCTCCATGGAATTCTACATGCCATGCCCTCCTGCAGGGGATCTTCTCGACCCAGGGATCAAACCTGCATCTCTTACATCTCCTACATTGACAAGTGGGTTCTTTATCACTAGCGCCACCTAACAAGCCCCCAAAATCACCTAGACTGGGTGTTAAATATTCAAATTCCAACCCAGGCTGAATAGACTAGAATCTCTAGGGTAGATACTTCAGAATCTGGCTTTGGTGTTGAGAACACTAGCTTACAAAATCAAGTGTAAATTCTTTGATGTTCAGTACAGTCCCCTCCACCATCAGCCCAGCCTGCTTCCCCTATATCCAGTGCCACCTCCACCTCCCAGTTCAGACTCCAGCAGTCCTGACTCACTGCTGTGGGATGCCCTACCCACCAAGATGCCACCTCATCTCATTCCCTGCCCCACATAAACAGCCAATGTCAGCTCAAGCACTGCCCACTCCTCATCCTTAGGGGCCTCCTATGCTTTCACACAATGCTCCATGCACACTTTATCACTGCACCTGACACCATGACATCATATCTGCTCCTGTATCTGCCACCCTATAGACAGATCCACCCTGTGTCCCCAAGTTTCCAGCACAGCGAGGTACGGAGCAGGTGCTCCATAAAATAAATCCCCACTGAGAGAGGAATAAACGAACCCACCAAGCACTCTAGTCCATATGCAATTCACTGAGCCCAGCAAAGCTTCCTCAGCTAAACTGTTCATTTCTCTGAAGGCTGCCACTCATTTTATTATCATGTTTGCTACTCTCTTCTAGATCGAATCTATCTTTCTACAAATGAGGTTCCCCAAATAGACTGCGTAGTCCACATTAGTGTCTCCCCAGAGGAGTACACATAACACAAGCAACTTCCTTCTTAGGGACACCAGGCCAGTTTATACATGGATGGAAATAACATGGGCTGTCCGCTTTGCCATATCACCCTGAAGTGGTGGTTTAGTCGCTAAGTTGTATCCAACTCTTGTGATCCCAAGGACTGTAGCCCATCAGGCTCCTCTATCCATGGGACTTTCCAGGCAAGAATACTGGAGTGGGTAGCCATTTCCTTCTCCAGGGAATCTTCCCAACCCAGAGATCAAACCCAGGTCTCCTGCATTAGAGGTGGATTCTTTACCTACTGAGCCACCAGGGAAGCCCCCTGTCACCCTACAGATGAGCATCTAATTTGCCACTGATGCCACCAAAGTCCCTGCATGGAGAGCCTCCTATGGACTCTCCACCACTGCCTGTGAGTTGTTTCCCCTAGATGTGTATCACTCTGCCATTTGCCAAACTGAATCTCATTCTGTTACATCCTGCTTGTATTACTCACCTCTTTGGATTCCCATTTGTTATGTTTTACTCCTTGTTGATGTTAAGAACAGTTCCCAGTTTTGTATTTTATGTAAAGTTCATTACGGTGATGTGTCTACCCTTTTCAAATCATTGATGAAACAATTAAATGAAATCAAACCTAACATCCACCCTCCTGGAAACCTCTCCAGAGGGTTCCAGCACCACGTGTCACTTAGGGCTCTTGGATCCAGGTTCTCTGCAGGCAGGGCTTCTGGCTCACTGAAATGGTCACATGGAACAAGCAACTGAAGAAACTGCATGACATTCTTGGCCTTCCCTCCTACCTCCGCATGGTAAACTGACACTGACAAGTTCATGGGATGTGACAGATTCTCTAAAAGAAGACAAGCACGACTCCAGTCGCCTAGAGGGTCACACGTGTTCATTCTTCATTATTTATCATCTTCTTTGGAAGATGATAACTATCATCTTCTAGAATCAGGAATCCCCCTCCATGGTCTCATACATATGTGGTTTTCACACAAACCCCAATAATCTTTCCCATTCTTCAAAATCCCCGATTCTCCATCATACTTTAATAACTTGTTCAGTTAAAACATAAAATGACAACTTATGTTTTGCCCCAAATTAATTCAGCCTATATTTTTTAGCTACACCCTTTCAGAGATGTCCTCAGGAAAAACTCCAGGACAAATTCATTTTTCCAATAATTTGCTACTTATTTTTTTAGTCACCTCAACACACATGCTCAAGGACTTAATCCGATTTTGGAGAAACTCAAAAACACACACAGACAAAATAAAGCAAATAAAACTGCAATTGTTGGAGTAGATTGGTTATTTGGTCTGGTTTTAAATTTTTGTTCAGATTTCTCATTTTGCATGACACTGGGAAAGTACTCTGCAACCACATGGCTAAGGAGCTGGACTGTGTCAAGAGACACCATCTTAGGGACACAGCAGGAATGTGACCAGTTGCAGTTTATAGACAATTCCCTGGACACCCCCTTGTAACTCCACCCCTCCTCTCACACTCAGAAGGGCAGATCAAAGTACCGAGAAGTGGGGGAAAGAGATTAATTCCAGTGTAGTTGCGCAAACCACCTTAAGTTTCTGTAACATGTAACCAAATAAATGTTATAGAAGGAACCCAACTTCGTTCACTGAAGGGACACACATGAAATAATGGACATGCCGACAGCACTCACTTGAATGCAAGGAACCTTTTTATCTATTCTAATTGGCAGAGAGTCATTACTGCCCAGAGATTTACTACAGGGCTCCAAGAATATACTGGGACATAAAAATTGAAAGGGTATACGTAAGATCATATGTTTCAGAGCCAGGTGAAATCCAGACTGGATTCTCTTCTCAGCCTGTGGTCATCTGATTTTTCTATTTTCTGTGCCAAAATACATATTTATATTAATAGTCATTTGTTTTCTTGAATTAATTTGCTTAAAGAGAAAAAGTGCACAACATTTCAGATAATACATCATTCTATGCTTAAGAATGTGAAAATAAGCAAACTCCAAAGACAAATGAAATTGGGCCATCCATGTAAATTATTTACTTTAACATATGCATGCTCAGTTGCTCAGTTGTGTTCTGACTCTTGCGACCCATAGACTGTAGCCCACCAGGCTCCTCTCTCCGTGGGATTTTTCCACAGAGTGGAAATGGAGTGGGTTGCCATTTCCTCCTTCAGGGGATCTTCCCAACCCAGGGATCGAACCTGCGTCTCCTGTTTGGCAGGCAGATTCTTCACCACTGAGTCATCAGGGAAGCCGTTGGATAACATACAGGATATTAAAAATGCCTGTTCACAACTGAGTTCTATCCCTTTAACAGCATCACTATTGCTTTTAATATTAAATGACATGTATAAAATAAAACTAGATTCTTTTTCACACTTTGGCTCATCAGGTTTATTTTGTGGTTCTCTTGATTTTCTACCAGGCCAAATTCATGTGCAAAGCAATCAAAGATGTAATTTTAGCACACAATAACAAGTCTTATTAAAACTGCGATAGGTGGCTTCTTGAATGGAACATCAGTGGTAAAAAATGATAACCATTGGGAAACTCCCTGGTGATCCAGTGGTAAGGACTCAATGCTTTCACTGCCTGGGTCCAGGTTCAATCCTTGGTCAGGGAACTAGGATCCTACAAGCCACACAAGGGAACTCCACCAAAAAAAAAAAAAAAAACTAACCCTCAAATATAGCATTTGGTAGCTAAGATGTTTCAGAACACAGCCCATTCCTCTTATCTGTTTCCAGAAAGGGAGGGCCACCTCTGGTCCCTTGCCCACTTTTGGATGAATTTCTGAGTGAGCTGTTCCCTGAGGCTTGAATCAGTTCCTCTGGGCAATGGATCAGTGCCACCAGGCTGCCCTGCTCTGAGGCCTGGCAATTCACATCAAGACCTCCCAATGTGTGCCTCCTCTCAAAGGCATCCGGCACTCCCATCCCCAGGCAAAGCAATCAAGGCAGTGCAGATCTGAGCTGGAGGCAAATGAAGCACACAGCCAGTCCCATCTTTCAGGTACAAAACAAGTTTGCCCAGGGGCAGGTTGGCCGGCATGGGGCCAGACACCTTCTGTCCTGACTTTACGTCTATAGCACAAGTCAGTCCCAGCATCCATGTAAAGACCTATCCTCATTCTCTTGGCCTGGATCATAGAGCCATGGCCCTTAGAGTCCAGAAAGATCTATTCTAGCTCAGTAGGACTGTCCTGGAGGCCACTGCTTGGCCAGCTGGAGGGAGACCCTCTGACTTGCCCCCTTCCCCTCTCCCCAGAGAGAAGACATATTCTTACCTCTCATTTCTGTCCCTGAGGAACCATTGGACCAAGCTGTCCACTTATTCCTGTGCTTGCTGATTTCCTGGACTTTGCAGACATAATGCCCTTGATCTGTTGGCTGGAGGGTCAAGACAGACAGCGTGTAGAGCGTCCCACGCCGCTCCTCAAGGAGGCGCAGCCTCTGCCGGTAGGCGCTGCGGCTGAAATTCCCATAGTACTGCACCACCCGGAGCTTGGTCATCTTAACCATCAGGGCTTCCTGGGAGTCTGGTCGCGCAAAGAACCAGCGCACAGCCAGCAAGCTGTCCTTTCGCCTCTTCTGGGAGACATGGCAGAGAAGTGTGGCATTTTCCCCCTCCAGGTAGTCAACCACGGGCCCCGGGGACACAGTGACATTGAGGGCTCCACAGACCTCTGCAGAGAAAAAATGAAGGAAGAAAATGAGGAGGGCCACCGCCATTTCCCAGGTGAGTACACACAGCATCTTCTCTCAAGGAGCCAGAGTGATGTGCATGGCCAGAGAAGCGGGCCACCTCCACCCTTCTATGCTCACTCTTTCTTCAAGAAGGAGCCCTCCTTGGGGCATGGAGTGAGTCTCTGTGGGCCCCCACGTCCTCAACCTATGAGATGATCCCCTGCAAGTGGGATGTCACTGATCACCTGGCCTAGATGCTTTTCTTATTTTTAGTTAGTTGCTGATATTTAAAATTCAGGAGATTTCACATAAAGATTTAAATTTGGGGAAGCTCTTAAAAATATCCAACTTACATCAAATCTACCTTTCCTACCTGCCTCCCCAAGGCCTGCTTCAATCAGTTTTATCACCTCCCTGAGGAGGCAATACTATGGCCCCCTTCCCTGTCTCAGCTATTTCAGGTGTAACCAAGGCAGATTTTCAGTTCTGGTCAGGCGAGTGTTAAACTAGTACTAGGGAGCTGGAATGACAGAGGTGCCTCGGTTTCTTACTCCAAGTCTCTTAGGACCATGATCCACGGTCTAACAGCTGAACTGCAGGAATAAAGAGCCAACGAGCCCAGGAGCAAAGAGGGGTACCAGACTCGCCCAACAACCCAAAATATGCTCCAGGAAATCAGGCCCAGGTCGAATTCTTGTCCTTTGGTCTCAGGGCTGACTCTCACCAGCCATGGTTCTACTCCAAGCTGACATTTGAGGGTGCCACCCCCTGTCCACTCAAGATCAGCCAGCCCAGCCACCCTTGCCAAGGTCTTCTCCCAGTAGACACACCACACGGCGTCTGCAGGGATTACATATTGCAGCCGTGCAGCCCGGGAGCTCACGAGTGCAGCCTCCCCCTGGCAGGCAGAGTCCAGGAAGGACAGGATGCCCAGAGCCTCCTACTGTCCAAGCTGGGTTGTCTTCTCAGCAGGCCCCACATCATCATCCCTGCGCTGCCCAGCAGGCAACTCCAGGAAGCATCATGCCCTACTGCACGAGCAGGTGTCCCCAAGGTCATCCCAAACTACTAATAGTCCCCAAATACCACCTCTTAGTCACATGAGGGGACTTGGGGGCCTTGATGGCAGAGTCTTCCAAGACTTTGAACCCTGGTCAGTGCTACAGGTAAGCAAGGAGGAAGGATGAAAAAGAGAGTAAAGATTTGGACCTTCCACTGTGAAGAGGCTGTGAGTCAACAAGGTGAGGCCCTATGTGTGCTGGGGGTGACAGGGAGAGTTTAACACAAACAGTATCCTTCATTGTAAAAATTCAGGCAATAAGCTCCTCCTTGCATATGGTTTCCACATAGTTTTCACTATTCATTTAATAAACTGAACATCTCAAGAGATATCACTTGAGAGTCAATTTTCTTTTGTTTCTCGGCTCTTAAAAGCCAGGCCACCAGGACACTCCAGGATACTCCAAGATCCTTAACTTAATCATATCCATAAAGTGCCTTTTAAGCTGTATTCACAGTTCCAGGGATCAGGATGCAGACATCTTTGGGGGTCATTATTCAGCTAGCAGCACTGTGATAGTCTTTTGTTACCATTAAAAAAAATAGATGAAAATGAATTCAGAAGGAAAAGATGGATGCTTGGCTGGACTCAGCTCATTGTGAACAAGAATGAGGTCTTCTATGTTTACAGCGGCAAAGCCAAAGCCACCCAGGGAGACACTCGGGAATGCAGATCAACAGGTACCCAAGGAAGGCACACTCCCCCTAGTAACAATCTCACTATCTACACAAGTCACTCACACAGGACAAAAGAGGGACTGCCCTCACCGTTTCCCTGCAGCTCACCCACCAGCCCACACACCACGTTATATTAGACCAAAAGCATTTTCCCCAAAGCCCGCTCAGGCCCCATGCTGGGAACTCCCTGAAGAGCACAGAAATGCCAGGCTGACCCCACTTCAACAGCTGCCCAAGCGGAGAGCAGCAGAGATGAAGCAGCTGGCTTCCAGAACTGAAGTCCCGCTCTGCCCGCCCCCATGGTCTCCCCACTGGAGGCAAAGAGAGCTGGGGAAGTCAGGAAATTGAAACAACGTGGATGGGATGAGAGCACAGCCGGGACCCCACACCCTCGTCTCCTCCTATTAACGCTGCATGAAGGCGGGATTATTTATAGTGACTGAAACCAGGAGAACACGCCAAGCGCTCTGGTCCTCATGGGAGGCCAGATTCCATCCTGGAGGCAAACTAGTAACTCTTCCACTTCTGCAGCTCAGGCCAAGTCAGCAGCTCCCAGGAAAGGGAGCAAACTGCACCGTCTTCCCCAATTAAAGATGGAAATGCCTCTCCGCCTTCAGTTAGCCCCTCTCTTACAAATGGCCCAAACATGTCACTCCCACTGAAGTGCAAAGACCCCTGCTATGGGCTGAACAGTGTCCCCCACAAATTCCTATACTGAAGCCCTAATCCCCAGGAGCTCCGAATGGAACTGTATTGGAGAGAGAACCTTTAGTGAGATGACCAAGTTAAAATGAGGCCCTTAGGAAGGACGCCAATCCAACATGTTGGCATTGTTTAGTCACTAAGTCGTGTCTAACTCTTTTGCGAGCCCATGGACTATAACCCACCAGGTTCCTCTGTCCATGGGACTTCCCAGGCAAGAATACTGGAGTGGGTTGCCATTTCCTTTTCCAATCCAACATGACTGGTGTCCTTATAAGAAGAGATTAGGGAGCAGACACAGAGGAAAGATCATGTAAACACATAAGGAGAAGAGGCCTCAGAAGATAGCAGCGCTGCAGACTTCTGGCCTCCGGAGCTGAGAAACTAAACTCTGTTGTCGAAGCCCCCAGTCTGTGGCACTTTGTGATGGCGGCCCCAGGGAAGCAATACAACCTTCCTCTCAGGAAGGCTCATTTCGGCCCTAGTCTTACCACCAGCCCAGATATTTACCCCTACTTTCAACATGAGAGTATGGGGGTGTGACTGAAACGATAATGCCCACAGGTTCCTCGGGGCATTAAGCTTTGTTAAAAGACACAGGATCTCAGGCTGTGTGGCTCCCCACGCATGCAGTGACCTTTCTCAGAAAGCCACTGCCCCAGGTAACGCCCTCCCCTCTACACTGGAAATGACTACCTCAAGCCCAAGGAACAGAACTCAGCCCAAAGGCAGTTGTGAGAAGTGGCAATGCTCCAGGGAGGGAGAAAACGCAGGTAGAGGACCCGGTGCCTTGCAGATGGTTGCTTAGCTGGATGTTTAAATGCTAGCGGAGAGCATCATCCAGCTTCTGCCCATGGCAATTATCAGGCCCCATATGGTTCAACAAAGAAACTGCAGAGTGGCCAAGAGTTATGCAGTACAGACAGGCTGACCAGAGTGTGGTGCTAGGGAGGGGCCCAAGCCTTTCCCCTCTGGGTCTCAATCTGAACAGAGAATCCACACCCTGTAGGGCAGAGGGGCAAAGCAGGCAACATGGACCAAGCCAGCTACCAGACTGGAGAGTCAGGTGTCACTAGACCCTCTGACACCATACAAGGTAAGGGAGTAGCCCCGGGCCGGGCAGAGTCACCTCCACATTCAGTGCTCCGCCTCCTCTAGTTTACACCCTAGCTTATGCTTTGTTCACTTAATCACTTGACAAATAGTTGCTGAGAACAGCCATGTGCCGAGCACTGTGAGAAGAGGCATCCCTAACCTCAAGGAGCTGAGAGTCCAGTGGACAAGGCACTGGCCATCAGGTAAAAAGACACAGGAGAACTTCAGAGAAAAGATGCAGGGCTTGCAAACCTGAGAGTGAGATTCTGATCTCTGTGTGTCAGGGAGGAAAGAAACCCTGGAGAAGCGAGGGTGCGTTTGAAGGCTGAGGGGGAGCTCATGATACAAATTCAGGGCAGCAGCGAGGCAATGATCTTTGTGGAAGATGGTTCTACCTGTGCAAAGGCCCTGAGGCAGGAGGAACCTGGTGCAGGCTGGAAATGGGAAGATCAGTATCCTCCAGTGAACTGCACCACACCATTGCCCAGGCAGCCACCTAGGTCTGCAGACAGACCTCAGGAGGGGCCACTGCACCCCAGCCAGGGCCCCCAAGACCAGTTCTTAAAGGTCTTGACAACATGGGCAGGAAAGAGACTGACCCAAAACAGATGGTCGGGATTCCTGTTGCAAAGAACCTTACTTCTTCAACAAGCACATGTGCCATGACCTGGTAGGCAGGTATGCCCTCCGCTCATGGGCTGGGTGCCAGGATGCTCAAGGCCCAGGGCCTTGCCAGTGGTGTGGCAGGACTGGGCAAAGAGCCAGGGGTTGAAATCCAACAAAGCCAGGCTGGAAACCTGGTTCTACTAGGAGTGAGGTCCTCAGGGCCTCCGTTTCCTCATCTCAAAAGCAGGAAGATGATGCCTTGCATGGTGAGTATAAGGTTCCAACAAGAAAGCACCTTTAGGGACTTCCCTGGTGGCCCAGTGGCTAAGGCTCTGTGCTCCCGATGCAGGGGGACTGGGTTCAATCCCTGGTCAGGGAACCAGATCCCACACGCAGCAACTAAGAGTTCATATGCCACAACTAAGACCTGGCACAAACAAATATTTTTTTTAAATAAATAAAAATGCTACTTTAAAAAAGCACCTTTAAGATACTGATAAATGTTTGCATGCTCTGAGAATAGAACAGGTGGAAATAACAGAAAGTGACAACACACACAGCGATCTATAAGAAGGCTGGGCTTCTCGCAGGCATGATCAGCAGGGCCTTAAGCTTGGAGGGTCTCCATTTGATTTAATCTCTGCTTTTTTTATTTAATTTGCTTTTAAAAGCCTAAAAAGTTTAAAATGAAGGATCCTGCATTTCCGTTTTGCACTGAATCCCACAAATTACATAGCTGGTTCCCCCTGTAAATAAATGTTAAGTTCCTGTGGATGAGATTTATGGGGTCTAATCCTCTTGTTCCCATTTGGATAATGTTATGAAAAGAACTAAAGCTCAGAAAACAGCCTAAAAGGACTTCAGTGTAGCCAAATAGTATACAACCTATTCATTTAGTACTCAACCATCTTCTCTCCCTTACCCCACTTACCTCCTCCCCACACTTAATATGAAGTGAGAAATAGCAGCTTCCAGGTACAGGGGAGTATAGAACTTCTAACAGAAACAGAGTACCTGCCTCGCCTGGGACACAGACGTGGCAAGGCCAGGGTCCCTCTGTTCCAACTTGGCTAGCTAAGTGCTAATGGCTCTGTGCCCCACACTTCTCTGTCTAGAAGAAATTTCCCCTCTCCTTTCAGGAAGCCAGGAGCCTCTGCATTGATAAGGAATTCAAATTGTGTGTACCAGTTGGCAGTCATCTCACTCTTACTAAAAGGATAGTCTGAATTTGTGACAAATAAATCTCTGAAAGAAATATAACTTTAAAACTCATGGCACTAGAAGCCAGTGTTTACCGAGTACCAAGCAGAGATCCAGCCTACAGGGTAATGCCTTCATATTAAGGTGGTCACCTTAAAATAACTCTCATCCAGGATGAACACAAGGCCCTGACCAATGATGAACACTAACATTTACTGGATGTGAACTGTTCACATCCAGATCAAGTACTGTTCTGTGTGCACTGTGTGCACTTTAGTTGTGTTTTCTTAATTTATCCTCATAGTATGTTTATCCCCATTTTACAGACAAGAGGGTTAAGGCCCAGAGAAGCTAAGCCACTTGTTCAAGCTCACACAGAACATGACAGAGC